CACACACACACATCCCTCAGTTCTATCCACTGGTGGCAATAAAATGTGCAGAGAAAACTCCATTTGGGACCATTCTACTAAGTAGATGACCCTCAGGTGGGAGATTATCCCTTTAATTTGGGCCTTCCCTGCTAGTAAAGTCATAGATATACCCATGTTCCCAGAGAAAATAATTCCTAATTCGGTGTTGGCTGCATTGGAAAGGTAGCTACAACAGGCACACACACACGACATGGCCAGCACAATTTAATTTGGCTCTTGGAACCAAGAGTTTGAAGTCAATCATCAAGCCTGAATATTCCAGAATAGCCCAGAATATTTCAGATATTCTGCTCCAATGGTCCCTCAAAATAAACCCATACTTTTTAGCCTAAGCACGCCAGTGTTTATAGAGAATATGGCCACTGAAAATCTGGGGGATAGGACCAAGGCAATGGAAATTCAATAACATGCTAAATATTTCCTTCTTAAATTTTGTAAAGGTGCCATTTTGTATTTATCTGGTTCCCTTTCTCCAAGGGAGACTAAATGTGTTGAGTATGTTACTCTTGTTATATCTCTGATATATAAGATGTTTCAATAAACTGTTTCACAGGTAAAGAAATGTGAGTTATATTTGATAATCCTTCAAATGATTTGAAAATTAGAAACAGTGTGTAGGGTTAAGACAGCTTTGATGAGAAGATCCAAAGAATCCATGCAATCCTTGGCTGTTCATTTTAAGACAAAATGGTGTTAACCAGTTCCACTCTCTTCCTTCCTGGGCCCTCAGATATACAGTCAAGGCAAACCAGATGTACAGTCAAGTTTCCAGGCAAACCAGGCGCATGCTTAGGGCACCAGCAACTACATGTGCGTACATACATGCACACATACACACCCACAACCATACCACTCAAAGAGGAAAAATAAAATTTTAAATATTCTATCTTTTTAAAAAATATATGTTTTTACTGATTTTAGAGAGAGAGGAAGGGAAAGGAAGAGAGAGAGAAACATTGATGTGAGAGAGAAACATCTATCAGCTGCCTCCTGCACACTTCCTACTGGGGATCAAGCCCACAATCCAGGCATGTGCCCTGATCAGAATCGAACCATTGACCTTTTGGTGCATGGGATGACACGCGACCAACTGAGCCACACTGGCCAGGGCTAAATATTCTATCTTTAAGACTTAGAAATGCTTGAAATTGTCCATGTGTGGGAAATCACTCATTTGGAGGACTTTTGTACACATATTTTATAATCGTATATATATGTTTTTATTGGAATTACATATAGTTGGAGGTGAGGGGAGGGCATAATCTTTTCAGAGCTGCTTTAGTCTTTAATCTGAACCTAGATATGATTGGAACTAATTTTACTTTGGGGAGTTCATATTCACCAGAACTGCTCCTTATAAGGAGCAACTTTTGACTACAGTGATATAAATCTTGCACTGTGTTGAGTATACTATTACCAAAAGACAGGGGCTCTTTTCCTTACTCAGACCCTCGGTAGGCAGGACCATTAGGAGAAATGTGTCTAGTTAAAGAAATCAATCACAAAAACATTTCTTGTTCTGTAAAATGGTTTATATTGTGGCCATGTCAATGAGCACTCACAACTTTTGATCAAAATACTTCAGGTGCAAGCTAAATGTTTGAGTTGCTGAGGGAGTCCACGTTTCTTTAACAGCAGAGTTAGACCTTTAATCAGACTTTCCCATTCCAAGGCTAACATGTAGACCAACAGTGTTCAACCTTGGTGGCTGAGGGGTGATTTAGAGTTTATTTTCATGCTCAAGAACTACATAGAACTTGTAGGTGATGGAGCTGACATCAAGTCCTACCTTCTGGAGACATAACTTTTTCCCCTTTACTTTTATCCTTGACACTATTATGAATGTCCCCATTTCTCCTCTCTTTGCCCACCTTCACCCAAGGAGCTATAATTTTTTTCTCCCAGCAACTGCTTACTGGGGATCCTGGCATTCCTGGATACAGTTTGGCAACCACTACATTGAACAAAATCTATTTTATTAACCCGTGTTATTAGTTCACCAATTATTGCCAGTTTGGGCCAATACAGAATTTACATTGCAGAAATTTGTTCTTTACTTTCTAGTCTTGTTTCAATTTTTATATCAGCAGTTCTTGAGGTGAAAACAAGCACAGCGTGCCTTTCAGGGATGGCTCTTGTGTTTGGGATGCATCTAAGCTGTTTGCTACAAACGTCCCACAATCAAGCTAATATTATTGACTCAGTTCATGAAAAGCACCCAACATCTGTATGGCAAATGAAAATATAATGAGCGCTTAAGGGTTGCTCACTGACAGATAAACATGGAGCCATTTCCATGTCTTGGGTACTACGTTTCCAAGGAGAGACACCCCCTCCATCGGGGAGCTTCCTGGGAGAGAGGAAAAAGAACAGCTTTTATTAATTAGCTTTCTCAATGGTCATCGAATGTACTTTGTAACCAGAGGGTTTTCTTGTGCTTCCTTGCAGCTATTGTACTTTTTGCTGAGCTCCCTGGGCTTGATGGTCTGTGTGCTGGCTGCGGCGTTCGCGGCCCACCACTATTTGCTGCTCAGCCGGGTCACCTGTGAAACCGCGCTGGCCTCCTGCCGCTGCAGACTGCCCTCCTCCGAGCCGCTCAGCAGGACCTTTGCGTACCAGGATGTGACCGACTGTACCAGCATCACTTTCACTTTCAAAGTGTTCTTACTCACCCAGATGATTCTTAACTTGGTCTGTGGCCTTGTGTGCTTGTTGGCCTGCTTTGTGATGTGGAAACACAGGTACCAGGTCTTTTATGTGGGTGACAGGATGTACTCCTTGACCACTTCCGAAGGCCAGCAGCAAAAGGTCTAACACTCTTGTTCAAAGGTGGGAGAGAAAACAGCACACTGGGTAGCTGAGGTGGAAGGAAGGAAGGAAGGAAGGAAGGAAGGAAGGAAGGAAGGAAGGAAGGAAGGAAGGGGCAT